TTTAAACACTTTTATGACTATTTCCTTTTGTAATTTTAATGGAAGATTATTTTTTATATAAATTTGTCAAACAATTTTGTAATAGTCCCTCTTGCACCAATCATTATGTCAATTACTGATATGTAATTTAGATTATATTTGTTTCTTAAATAATTTTCACATTTACTATAAATCTTTCTCTTTTCTTTATCTACTTTCAAGGGTTGGCTTTTTGATATTTCAAACCTTATGGTTGGATAATTTAGGTAATTTATTTTTTCAATACAGTTATATTTTATCATATTTATCATGTACTCATAACATTAGATTATGTTATATATATTTTGATTGTTTTCCATGATTGTAAAAATGAGGAGGGGGATTTGTGAAAATTAAGCAGTGATTATAAAAAAAAACATTAAATATTAATTTGAAGGTTAGTAAATCCCCTGTTTCGATTTCGTCCAAAATCATGTCACTCATCAATGCTAATAAAGACAGTTGTCGACTAGGTGAAGCAAAAGAATTAAAAAATTATTTCCAACTTATGCAAAAGTATAGAAACAAACCAGTTTTATCATCAATAAAGCTACACGATTTTGGCTTACATTTTGGTTACATTTTGACTCTTTATTTTATTATGATAAATACCAAATGACTTATAACAGTCTTAAATACAAGCTAAGTTCATCTATGAGCATCGATATCGCAACTAAAACATTAATATTAAAGGGTGTTAGTCGTGAAATGTTTTAATGATTACTGTTATTGTTGTTATATTATGTTTTAGTGGTTTCAAGATAGCAATTCGTACAACAATACATCGTAAAAATTTGACAAACTGGAATAACAAAATTGTCATTAAAACACTTGTTTCTTTGTTTTGTTTGTTTAAGGACAGTAACTTACAAAATTGAAAGATTATAGGGGTTTTAGTTTATATGTAGGCTATTTTAAGGGTTGTTAAGACTTGAAAAATTATTTTTATAAAAGGTTAACTGATATTGGAGATATTGTTAAAGACTTTACCATTGAAAATAGAACATAAAACTAAATATAATTAACTAGTATCTTACCAGGTGTTTCATGGTGGAGTTGGATTGAAGTGTTGTGACTACATAATATTTTCAATCTTCACTATATATAGAGTTTTCTTCAACCTTGTCCTTCACGCATCTTGGTTTATGCAAAGCGGGAAGATATGTTATAATGACTTAATATTATAGAAGCATAAGATGATATATCAATAAAAATATCTTAAAAACAACATTTGGAAAACAATACGATGGACGCAAATAGTGACCAAGTTGTCACATGTGTAAATAATGTGTTAATGTGTAAATAACCACGACGCAGCGCACCTGCTACCAAATTCACTCAAATAAAACATGTCAGATTTATTCCCTATTTAAATAACACAGGTAATGATTTGCCGCTACAAGGAATGTTTTATTTGGTCGAAATAAATAAGTTAACAAGCTAAATTTAGTGGTTTACTTAATCTCTATAAGAATAAGAGGAATTTTAAATTTACAAATTTCCCGTAACCCTTTGTCGTTCAACAACCATAAAAAGTTCACATAATTAAACTTAACAAATAGTTAAAAATGAATTTGCGCAATTTTGGGCCCCTGGGAACATTAAAAAAAACAGGAAATTGGTCCCGGGTCTAGGTGTTAACATGAGACCTACGGATGACAATCCCTGTATGAGAAATTAGCTAAAACCAGGTATATAGGGTGTTTTTTTTTTTTAAACTTGCATCTTTATTTGCGGGAATCATCTATTGACGTAGGGGGGCCAATATTTTTTAATTCAACGTTACATTTACATTCCCCCCCTTTCCCCCCCATCCCCCAACTTTTTTTTTTTTAAATAGCAAGGTATCCCTTGTGACATATCAAATAAAAGATCATGAAAAAAGAAAATGTTTGATGAAAAAAAATTGAAAATCGGTTCATAAATTTGCGAGATATGTCCCTCCCCCCTCCCCGGAACTTATTTTTTTTTTAAACGCAAGGTACCCCTTGTGACATATCAAATGAAAGAGCATGAATAAAGAAAATTTTTGGTGAAATTTATTTTTCATTTGATACGTCACAACGGGGGGTACCTTGCTATTTAAAAAAAAGTTATGGGTAGGGAAAAGGGGGTGATTATCTCACAAATTCATGAGCCGATTTTAATTTTTTTTTCACCAAACATTTTCTTTTTTCATGCTCTTTCATTTGATATGTCACAAGGGGTACCTTGCTATTAAAAAAATTAAGTTCCGGGGAGGGAGGGGGGATATCTCACAAGTTTATGAACCTATTTTCAATTTGTTTTCATCAAACATTTTCTTTTTTCATGCTCTTTCATTTGATATGTCACAAGGGGTACCTTGCTATTTAAAAAAATAAGTTGGGGGCAGGGGGGAAAGGGGAGGAATGTGAATGTAACATTGAATTTAAAAAAGTTGGGCCCCCTACGTCAATAGATGATTCCCGCAAACTGAATATTTCTATCTATTGCGGTTTTTACATAAATAAAGATGCAAGTAAAAAAAAAAAACACCCTTTATATATAGTCAATGCTAAAACTAATTTGTATAAAAGAATGTTTGGAGTAAATTTCAGTTTTACTTAAAAAGTGGTAAGCTTTTAAAGTTTTAAGGAAATTCGGATTTTAGGAATATTTTTATCTTTAGTTTTATTTGTTCAAATCTCCAACATATCCAATAATTCAACAAAACCGTGATCGTTCATCACTAGGGCACTAAACTAATGACATTCGGCAAACATATTTTGTTTGACCTGTGTTTACAATCCAACATGTAATTAATGAAATAATCATCTAACATTGTTCACAAAACTTTTCTTGCATATTTTTATGGTATTTAATCTCTCGACGAACTTTTATCCTTCGTCATTACTTACGATAAACCTTTGCTTTTTCAAAAAATGAAATAATTTTACTTATTGCCTGTTTTTATATTTATGCGAGTGGAGCCTAATGACACCCTAGGTTTTACGTTAAACGTGAGTGATTACTCAAGATGTGATAAGACGAGAGCAGTAACGACCTTGATATCATCACTAGGTGATAACGTAGGTAATTATCTATGTTGCTGATTGATACTTAACCTAGGCAGCGGGGCGCGACCTATCAACGTTGATGGCAAATAGGCAATATGTTGTATAATGCATGGTTTCCCTAAATAGACACATGAAAGGTAAATCTACACTACAATGTTTTTGGTTCTTTTAGATACGCCAGCTTATCTTAGAGGTAAGGCAGTTAATTAATTTAAAACTTAATCGTTATTTATGTAGTTTTCAAATAAGAACCTCAGAGTGTCAATTTCGTAAAAGCATAGATAAAAGGTGTTGTCTATACTCCTTTTATCTATGGTAAAAGGCTTATTATATCAAACTTATTTTAACACATAATTTCAAAACAAGAAATGAGACCATTATTTAAATCGTTCGCCAGACTTGTACACTTTAAAGTAATTTAAAGGTTTCAACCATAGCTTGGTGTGAGATGAATGTTGTACGTTAATTTTGTTTGATACAATGCAACACACAGTACAGTCTTACTATTAATATAAATAGTAGAGCTTTTTCGGTCTGTCAATAAATCTTTTGTAGTTTCGTAGCTAAAAAATATTTTTCCCTGAAAGTATAAAGAATAATTTGAATAGACTTTATTTAAACTAATATAACATAAATAATTAATTAATACTATATGCTACTCATATCGTTACTCGTTTCTCTTCTATGGTGTTATTTACAAAATCTCACGTTATGCTATGTTTATGTGTTTTATGTTAAAATGTCTCATGCTCAAATGTGTTTTTTATGTCTTCAATGTGTAGAAGCAACTACAAGTGGTGTTTCTTTATCGTAGTAAAAAAAAATATTTTGTTCTGATATACTTGCGGAATTATTTATTTTATAATAATCTAAAGACATAATATTTTTCTAGATTAACAGTCGTGCTTGAATTCTACAGTTGGAATTCCTTCAAAGAATATCACTCCGCCATGATCTCAGCTGACCTCAGCTGTCCAATCAGCTGATTTGTTTCTGAGGTCATCTTGGAGATCTTTACGGATGGGACTCATGGTTTTGAAACGGCTGGAATTAAAGTCCAAACAACAACTGGTCTGAAGATTTGGCTTTTTAACACTAATTAAAAAAAGAATAGAGCAAACCAAATTAAGCTAATATTTTTACACTAAAGCGTTAAATATTGGCGATGAAACACACGAAGTTGGAAAGCTGGATAGAATGGTGTTATGAGACGCGGGAAAGCGGGAAACGGCAACAGCTGATTTATGAGAGCAGGTGTTTACTTTTACCAATGCCGCAGACGAACAATGAAAACATTTTCTTGTCTTGGCTTTATTCGTGTATAAAATGTGTTGGCCAATCTTATCACAAATAATTTAGAGTAGTGACTTTTTATCATAAATATATTTAACTTCCATACATGTGGCTGTATGTTATTTATGCTATTTTGCGTGTCTAAATTGCCCAGAGAACTTTTAAACTTATTTGAATGCTTTTACATTTTAGAAAATTGTAAGATAATATATCAACATCGGAGCTAAAATGCAAATGCATTAAAAAGTATTGCAATTGTTTAGTAATTTCAACAATTTTATCTTAATTCTTCTTCCAATAATATTTGGGCGAATTTAAAAGTATGATGAAGTGTACGATGGGCCCTGTGGTTCTTATTTTCACTTTCATAAAAAAGTATTTAATTTATTCAATTACTTTTACTTGGCTTCATAAGATAAAAACTATTTCGGATGACAATCAGTTCAGAACGTTTTCTAAACCAACTATTATACTTAAACTGGTACTTTAAACCGTTATAAATAGTATTAACTACAAATAAGTTTTGCATTGTAAATAATCTTGCCCAGATTGCCATTGTTATGCATCGAGAGATTCCATGATTCCCGAAGGACGAACATTCCCGGTATAAAACTGATGCAAGACCAAAGCGCGGGAATATTTTATCTCCAGGACGCCATGCTTGCTGTGGTAAGTTACCTTTCATGTCTATCAAGATTAAATAGTATAATAAAGTAAATCTTCAGGTGCCATGTGAGAAATGATTAAACATATTTTATCTTTCTGTAAAATTTAAGTAAAACCTTTTATGTAAACAATGAAGGATCTACTATTTGTAATGTACCATTAACGTAAGTTTCAATTCCAACCGTATAAGATACTTAATATGATCACCTTTTATCAATATTTTTTTAACAATTAAATAACAAAAATAATACGAAAACTCGAGAGTATATTTACTGTCTTTATAGTGAAATAGTTACGTATACTATCGCAGATGTATGATAAATTGAAGTTAATTTCCTAATTTAGTGCAGTCAGTAGTTAACTGTTTGTAGCAATACATTTACAGAATTGTAAAGAGTTTAAAGTATAAATTATATCTTCTTCAACACAAAAAACTTGGTAAGGAAATAAAATCAACCTTGTTATTAGTAGTTTGTGTAATATTTAGCCGGCTTATGCTTGACAGAGTTTAATTTAAGTGTAAAGTGACATAGCTAGAATAAAGAAATAAATGAAAGCTTAAATGATGTATCATCATACTCCCGCACATAACGGCAATAAATTTTACCCTTGCCTGGGAGTATAATCATGTATACATAAAGTTTCCTAAAAAACTGTTATTCTACAAAAATAATATGAATGACCAATCTTTGAATTTAAACTGTTGTCCTATATTTAATGTGCATTTACTAAACACCGGTTCAAGTAAACGTAACAATAATATTTATAGTATAAAAATATAATGTGGAATGTTAAAATTTGTTCTACTTTAAATTGCATCAAAACAACTTAGTCCGATGTTATTTGTATTTCCTGTAGCAAAATAGATTACACAAATGTCAATATTAAATTTGAAACGTTATTGCTAACCCGTACTTGTAGGCCTACTTAAATTATTTTAATGTAGAATAACATTGAAACAAAATGTATATACTAATTACTATTAACTAGATTTATTGACATCTATTGAAAAAAGCTACCAAACTATTTTCCGCACGTTGTATCAATATAATTATTAGCTTTACCGATTGCTGAACGATTTATCATCCAACGTGCATTGCTAAATTGAACTGTGATTTAACTTTGGGTTCTACTCTTAAAATCCCCATTAAAAGGTTATTAAAATCGAATAGATCACTTATGTTTCAAATTTATTTAACCAAAATAATCAATTAATTTATTTTAAATATGTTTTTAGTATTCATTTTCGAAAAATATTTATGTATCTAATATAAAGTTTGTCGCATGTAGCTTGAGTGTACGCTGTAACCTAGATAAACTGGTTTAAGTTACATGTAATTTTGATTAATAGATAGTTTATATGTTAAGTACGTACACCAGGTGGTAATACATAAGTCTACATGTAAGAAGTACATCTTAAACGCAAAGTCATTAAAATAAAATACGATGAGAAATAAACCACAGTGGTGTTAAACAACTGACGTTAAGATGATTTTAACTATTGATACAAAACTAGCTCTATATAAAATATTGTTATTGTGATATCATGTAAAACACAATATATTTAATTCCCAACTTGCAAATAATTTTTCACAAACTAAAAAATGAACCACCAATGATAGACCAATGATTCAACAATCAACTGACATTAAATGGCTAACAGTTGATGTAACCACTTACAGATTTTGATCCTAACCACCCTTATAAAATATAATCTGGTTAAGATTCGACAAAGTGTTTACAGATATTAAGTTTCACTCAACCTTTTCCAGATTTTACTCGTCACTGTCGTGCTTGTAGAGGGACTTCATCCATCAATCGAAGATGATTTGTTGAACGGAGTCAAACGATCACCAACTCACGACTACAAGGTTTACGATCATGACGCGGAGAAAGATGATAAACCTGACAACAATCCGCAACATTTCAACATCATCTTGCCAGCTGATCCAGCCAGTCACGTGATACAATCAGTTGATCGCAAGAAACACCAAGTAAGTGTAGAGGTCAACGGGGATACCGGGTTTGTAGATCGTTCCTTGGTTGTAAAAGGTTTCGTTGGTTATGACAACGAAGAAGTTCTTCGTCACAGTGATTATGATAAGATTCAGAAATTTCAGTTGAGAAATAAAAGTGATGATGATTTTGGTACGATGGAGTATCAGGTAAAAGTTATTGTTTTGGAAAGTGATGAACGTGTTGGTTCAAGTGATGACAAAAAGGAAGAGCAAGTGGGTTCAACTAACGTCACAGATCAGGTATACGATGAAGGAGTTGAAGATCAAAGTAACAATAGGGAAGAAGAAGAAGTAGGTACAACTCACGTTAGAGATCAGACAGATGATGAAGGGGTTGAACTTCCAAGTAACACAGAGGAAGAAGACGAAAAGGTGGGTAAAATTAATTTTGAAGATCAGACACATGACGAAAGCACTTCTGAAATAGATTCTACAAATCTTGAAACAAACTCAGACATCAATGACGACACTCTTAGTGATTTGGAACCATCAAAAGTTGACAACATTCAAAACTCATACAGAGGACCTTTTTACCTACCGGAAACTAAAGGAATAGGCAGTGTTTATAGTACCGATTTTGTACAAAATGTTTCAACCAATTACAATACTGAGTCTTTAAACAATACTCACATGAATGTAGATAGTTCTACTGCTACTACTACACGTGCTACTGTTTTACAAGAAGACAATGAAAACCCCCTCTCGTCCACTACAGTATCGAATACCCCTCTGGTAAAAGTTCATGTCTTTGATGAATTTCCAGATAGGACAAATATTTCTGACGTAGGCGACTTTTTTATTACACCTAAAAGTTCCAAAAGAAACAAATCCAAGTCACAAAATGACTCTCCTATCACTCGGATTAGTAAAGTAGGTTCACCATTGGTGTTTGGTCCACCAGGACTAGTTAAAGATGAACCCAAACCATTTAGAAGACGAGTTTTGATTGGAGTAAAGAAGAAGATTCGACCTCAGAATTTAGAAGATTCTATGTCTTCTTCGACAACTGATGGACTTTCAACTGATGATTCAGACGATAACGACTACGATGATAATGAAGAAGACTCAGATGAAGGAGCAGACCTTCAACATGCACCACAAGATAAGATCATAAACAATAGTCCAATAATTCCCCAAGTTCGACAAGCAGCAACCCCTCCTTTTTACGCTCCACTTGGAATTCCCAATCCTATTCCTCCGATTCTTCCTGAACAACCTCCTACGAAAATTCACCAACCCGTTTTGCATCACATAATTCATGCACTTATTAGTCCACCCATACCCGAAGAAGAAGAAATACCAGACATCTTTCTTCACAGATATTCGCCAAATTTCGTTCCGTATCCTCATCCTTTGCCTTTGCTCTACTGAGAAACACTAATCGGAACCAAGGTTAAATTTAAGTAAAAATTGTTTTCAGGAAAAATGTTGCGTCTTGAATTTTTCTAAAGTAATATGTTTAGTAAAGTTTTATTTCCTAAAAGATGATCGTACTTATTAAAGGCGTTAAAAATTTGGTTGCTAATTTACAATGTTTTGTTAAAATACTGCTAGGATGGATCTTGCATTTTATTAGTCTAATATTGTGTTTATGGTAAAATATTTTTTTTTTAATTTATAATTTAAAAAATAATAATCACTGAAGAAAGAACTACGAAATTGAGCTGAAACTCTACTTCACAAAATTTAACAATTAATCAAGAAACCCCAACTCCCTTGAGCTTTTGATAGTTTCTTTTTTTATGTTATGTGGACTATTTTATGTTGCTATTTTAATCATTTGACAAACAATGCACATTCTGACAATGCATGAACACACGATGGAAGAGAATAATGCGTACAGTGATCATTGAATTGCAATGGCATCGGGTGTGCAATATGTAGTGGGTGGAAGCAGTACATGCAACAGCAATATCACAGCCAACGTTCATTATCAGATGTTATCAACCAACTATCAACTGCTCGAATGGTTATTGGCCCACCAGTTGTACTGACTCTCTGATTTAACTACTTGCTTTGTTGTCTTTTAGTGATTATTTAAGAAAAAACAACAGTACAGTTTGTAGAACTGTAATTACAGTGTTTCTAAAATTTTTCTACATTTAAGATATTTTGAATCAGTTTGCAGCAACCTTCTTAGATATGTGATGCTACAATAATTATGGTCAATTTTGAAAATTTTTCTCTTAGGGGTAGCGGGGGTAGGGAGTAGCTCAACATTTTTAAATTGGAAGTATAGTCGAGTTTGGCATCATTTTACAGGTCTTGACAAAGCTAGACAATTAACATAAAGAAAAAATCGGACCACCAAAAACAAACTGGCAGTTTAAAATTACTTTTTATAACCATTATTGTCTTAATCATTGTTAGTTGCCATTTTGTTATTAGTGGTCCGATTGCTATTTTCCTTATGTTAATTGTTTACTTTAATCAAGACTTGTAAAATGATACCAAACTCGACTATACTTGCAATTTAAAAATGTTGACTTACCCCTATCCCCGCTACAAAAAGGGCAAAATTTTCAAAATTGACCATGATTATTTTAGCTCTTCATATCTAAGAAGGTTGCAGAAAACTGATTCAAATATCTTCAATGGTTGAAAAGTTAAGGGGTGCAATGTAATTTTCCACCCTCATGGTTATTTGGATTTGAAATGTTTTATGAGACCATTTTTTTTATTATTTTGTAGTCCGATTTTGTTTTTTTTTTTACGTTAATTGTTTTGTTTAATCGAGACCTGTAAAATGATACCAAACTCGACTATACTTGCCATTTGAAAACTTTGAGCTACCCCCTATGCCTGATACCCCTAAGGACAAAATTTTCAAAATCTACCATAACTATTGTAGCTCTTAATATCTAAGAAGGTTACCGCTAACCAATTTCAAATATCTCAAAAGGTTCAAAAGTTAAGGGGGGTGCAAGATACTTTTCAGCCACCCTGTATATCTGCCCAAAAGCCTTACCAAATATAGTGTGGTTATCTTTGACATAAAATTTAAAAAATTAATCTACAGTGGCATGTATAAACAAATCCGCAAATCACCTTTTGATATTGTAAAACTGGCACTTTCAAAAAATATAGAAGGACCAACAAAGTAATAAAATTAAAATCAGATGACTGCAGTATACTTTAAAATATAAGATGTTTTTATGATTCAGACGAGTAAAATTTTATAGTAAATTTTTAAAGTAGCTGACAGTACAGTATATTTAATATGAATGAATATGTATCTAATATCAAAGATATTTCTTGATTATACAATACAAATGTGGTAAAAGAAATACAATTACTATGTTCGCATCTTTTCACTCTCTTTATGTTTCAACCCTAAAAATAAGGGTTAAATGTGTTGTTCTGCGGCAGCACTGCGCTGATGTATGAGTCAGCCCTAATCGTGCTTTATTGCGCTACACTGCTTTGCTGAGGAATATGAATTTTGGCTACAAGCTCGCTTGTCATACGTCATTAGTGTTAATGCTTTTGAGTTGTTGCATATTTTCATCACAGCTTTTAGTGGAGAGTTTTTCCCAAGAGCGTAGTTCACTTGAAATACTCTCTAAGCAAATTTCCCTATAGGGAAGATGTTTTTTACCTGGTTACTGTCAAAAGTAGAAATTATACTACACGAAATGATCGACAGAAACATGATAATCCAAACCTATATTAGTTGTATAGGTAAAAAGATAATATTTTTAACTTTTTTTCCAAGCACACTCATTAAATCAACTTACAAAAAACACACAATAAATAAATAAATAAATAAATAAATAAATAAAATTGTCTTTATTGGTTCAAGCGTTAAGTCAATTTTACAAAACTGTTTTTCTCTTACAACTTTCGTCATCTAATATCTAACAAACAATTAAAAACCAAAATAAGTACATAAGACTAAAAGCTATACATGAAATGAGCACATTTTTATATTCGTTTTGAAGCCTGTTATACACTTCAACCGTAATTTTACTATTACTATTTTACTATTACAGTAATAGTAATTTTGATTGGTTGATATGAATTATTATTGAAGTAACGCTTCCCTGTGTCCTACCCTTTATACCCTTAATTTATTGTTGAAACAAAGTTCTCTTACTCCAAAGCCCCATATCTCTGAAGATAACTGACACAAAGAAACGAGAAATGTGACTTTCAAACAGTGAGACTTATCCATAGCAAATATTCTCTTTTGAACAATTGTTAGCGACACAAAGAGCTGGCGGCGGTGTCAAGTCCTTCACAAATAAGTAAAGTTGTGACTGTGTAAGTCCTTACCCTCCAGTGTAGTAGTCTGCATGCCGCATTATCATGGTAATTCTTTTCGCTTTTATTCAGAACAAGTTATAATTCTTCATATATTTTGCAACTGGTATGGAATTAGATTGAAAAGTACAAATACCTTTCCAATATAATCACACTAAACAAAAAATGTCTACATTGTTTACATTTCCAGAAAGGAGAATAGAGGTAATATATGACGTCTAGAGACTAGAGGAGAGTAGAAATACTGACTTTTAGATATTGATCGTGACTTATCGTATGTATGCTGTAGCAATTTGTTGAAAAGAACTTAATTTGACGAGTTACTCACATAATGATCCACAGCCCATAGTAGTTTTCATCACTATGTATTGAAGAACAACAATTTTCATCATACTGTTGAAATGACCTTCTAATCGCTACAAAGTTAGACCAAATAGTTTGAGGTTATATAAAGTCGTCATCAATGTTTACATTTCTTTTGTTTACAAACATAGATTAAAATATCGTGTGATTAGCAGCGTTTTCATTATTTTATACTTAAAAGATTACTTAAAAGAGTCAACTGAAAGGTTAATAATCAATTACTCCACACCAGTTATCGAAACTATAATCGAACTGTACTCATTCTGAAAACGAACGCTCACTCCACTCCAGTTAACTAAACTGAAAACGAACGCTCTTGTTTGTATCATGTATCATAGACATGTATTTACTACGGACAGCTGTAATTATTACAGATTATTCGCCAAAGAAATACATTGGGATTATGATGGGATTATTTTCTTGCTTAGTTCCTTGACGTCTCCTCTCGGTCGCGGAGACATCGGGTTGTTGAGAAACTAATTTCTATTATGAATAGCCTAAATGTAAAAGTGTTAATACAATAAGTCGAAGGCTATGAAAACAACAAGCAAATATTCTAGGGCTACTCATACAAAACATAATTAAAATCCACCCATTCAAAACCCTTCCTCTCTCCCCCCCCCCCCAAAATGCCAGTGGCACACGTGTGCCAAATCCTTTTTTTCAGGGGGGCCCAAAATGAATTTATTCACCCTAAATTCAACTTCGAAAATTTTGAAGGAAAAAAACACTTTCTCCATATAAATAGGAGGAGAAAGTAAAAATGACCTAAAACAAACCCCATACTTTTGTGGATTATAGAACGCATCCGTGTCGTCGCAACGTATTATATTATGTTGACATTTAGCCTCGTTTGAGATAGCCGTATTCAAAGCAGTTACGGAGAATACTGCACTGATGATCCCATATGCAACGTATACATATGCAACCAGATGCAACGGTGCTGAAGTCAGCTTCATATCACTGAAGTCAGCATCGTTTTACTTAAGTCAGCATCATATTCCTGAAGTCAGCATCATGTTCCTGAAGTGGCATGGTTTCGTTGTGTGGACTACATTATTAATTTAAAAATTAGAGCTTTATATTTGGTGTAGCTATCTATGCATACGATACTAGTAAGAATATCTGGCCTTCTACAGCACTTAGAATAAAACAAAGCTTAATCAAGCAGATAATATTTAAGTATTAAATATCTCAGTTGTTGCTTGCATTAGGGTAGGGCTTGAGACATTGACCACCTAACAAACTCAATAACATCATGAAACTTACCGTGGGTTTACAAATGCTCCTGCAAAGTGGAGAAATCTGAGAATATTGTACAGCTGTATTACATGTTGCGTCAGTAAGAGGGAAGGAGTGGGGGCCATGCAATTGTTTTTGATAATGCCGAGTTTGTCTTAAACTAAACAAAACATTCATAGCTGGACAATGGTGTATTGTTATCCTAATTCCGATTTAAAAAAGGTATATGTAAATTTTAAACTAAAAAGTAAAATATTTGAAACTGATCAAGAAATAACTAATTTATTGATACGCTTATTCTTTAGGTACTTTTAAAGTGGTTTGTTACACTTTCTTTGCCATGTACCGTATTATGACGATTCGGTGAAATTTTTTGACATTTGGACGAAGAAAATGTGCTAGGTTGGCAATATATTTGTTACAATGTACGGTGTAGTTTGTTTTAGTTACGAAGGCACGAGATTTACCCGTCGTAAAATCAGATTATCATTGAAACGAATGTGAAATTTGTTTTACTACCTATATAAGAATCTGTCCCTGGCACTATTGCTGTTTTTGCATGTACCTTGAATATTCCAGTACCATCCTGAATTAAAATTTAAAAATAAGTCTTGT